TGCTGCAGTGCCTGCCCCCAGGTTCCTGCCCTGCCTTCCCTTAATGATGACTTTCACATGGAAATGTCAGATAAACTCTTTCCTTTTAAAGTTGCTTTTGGTCATGATGTTTATAACAACAATAGAAAGCAAACTAACACACACACACACATACACACCACACCAGGGCAGTGTATCATGAATCAGAGCATGGGGTAGGGTCATAGAGCTCAAGGGCTGAGTCTATATTTCTAGAACAATGGCAGTCTCTTTGTGCCTCTTGCTTCCTCACCTGTAAAATGGGTTTGATAGTGTCTATCTCATAGAGTTGGATGTTATGAGAAATCTTTCTGCCAAAAGCCGCCTGAGCCCCACCGCCACGTGTGAGCTTTACGCCAGCTGCCCGTCTGAGTTAGGGCCCAAATGAATACACAGAAACTTGTATTAGGTACAATGCTGCTTGGCCAATGACTAGGATTCTCATCTGTTATCTCAGTCTTAACTATCATAAACCTATATACTTTATAAGACTTATCTTATTGGATGCCTTATTGGCGTCCCTCCTTGCCGGTGGATCACATTGTGCCGCTGGAGCAGGAGTGGAGGGGAAAGGAGGCACGCTTCCTGATTCTCCTTCTTTAAATATGAGTCTCCTTGCTATGTCACTTCCTGCCTGGATCAGCACTTCTCTACTACATTTCCCAGAATCCTCTTTGACTCCTAGTCCTGTCTAACTTGCTGTCTCATTGGCCAAACAGTATTTTATTCAACAATCAATAAGATAAGCATACACAGAAGTACTTTCCCCATCAGTTGGAGGACTGAATGAGCTAACATGTGTGAGGTTAAGACAGTGTCTTCAGTGCAGTGAGCATCTACTGCCGCTGTCTCTTGTTCTTGTCTTCATCGTTCTCTGCAGACTGAGACGGTCTAGGCTGGGTCAGGCTTGTCTTTGAAAGTAACTAGGGTAGTGCATCAACTTCACACCATTTGTATTATACAGTCTTTTCTCTGCTTACATTTCCTTCCCAACCACTCCTAAGGGCGTGGAAATGGCAGCAGTTTCATCTTGACTTAGGTTGTTCAAAGATGCCTCTAAGGATCTATTTTCTTGTGTTTTCCATAAATTGGGGCAGGGGTGTGCTGTGCACTGGGTGGGGAGAACCTGCTTTCTGACAGGTCCCACTGTTCTTGATTTTCACTACAGAATGTTCTGAAAAACAGAATGTTCTTGCATTCTTCTTTTGTTGGGATGGACAGCTTCAGCTGCTGAAGGAAACCAGCCTGCTTTTTCTAGTGCTGTGCTCTCCCAGAGACTAGCAAAGGTGTTGAGTGTAGGTGGACACCCAGCACCTTCACAGGGCAGCCTGTGTACATGTATCTGCTAAAATGGCCCAAGAGGCTGACGTGTCCTTTGAGGGGCAGAGGCATCCTTGAACCTGAGCTTGTCAATACCCCACGATCTCCATTTGTTTTCTGAAGTCAATCCAGTGTCATGGAATTTGCTCCAGTGCCGATGTGCTCCAGGAGCCTCTTGCATGTGGCCCTCCCACCACCCAGTGTCAACCTGATTCATCACTCATGAAAGGTACAGTTCATTCAGGAGATCACACCCCAGCTGGACCCAGGATGACACACAAAATAGAACAGTCTGTGGTTTTTCTAATGGAACACCAAATGCCATGAATATGGAGATGGCTGGGGTCATGTCTTGGGGGAACAAGAGAAGGAGGAGTTTGGAGAAGGGTATTCCTGGAGACGAAAAGGCTTTGTAAGCAGAACACAAATTGAGAACTTCAGAACAGATCTCAGAACAGGAAATGGAAACAGATATGCAAGGAGGGAGTGGCAAGAGGGAGCCTTGAAAGCTAGAACCTATGTCTTCACTCAGACCGGGATGTAAATATTTCACTGCTCTTTGCTATGGCAAAGGTATAGGGGTGTTTATCAAGTAGGGACAGTGGTTGGGGGTATCCTTAGCTTGGGGGCTGAGGACAGACAGCAGCAGCAGGGAAACCCACTTGAGAAGGAGTGCACTTCATTTTTATCTCAGGGAAGGGGAGTCCATTCCTGCTGGACAGATGAGGAAGCAGGCTTAGGTAATTGTACTACATGAAGTCACTAGGCATTGCTATCTCTGACAGAGATCTATTAGGCTCCAATGGTCCTAGCCTTTTAGTTTTCAACTGGAAGACTCTGATGACTTTGGCTTAGGACATGTCTGCAGTTCAGGGACATTGTTTGTGTTCGGTAGTTTCTGGATGCACTCGGGCATGTGATCTGGTTTGAAACTATCTTGGTCCATTCCAGCCTCTGAAACAAGATGCTGTAGACTGGATGCCCAAACAGCCGACCTTTGGTTCTCACAGTTCAGGATACTGTGCCATCCAAGTCAAGGAGCCAGCACCATGTAGCATTGAGTGGACACCTACCCTATCTACAAGGCACTAGTCCCATTGTTGGCTCAGTGCCCAGAGGCCATTCCACCGGGGATTGAGGCTGTACACAGGAACCATAGGGCCAGGCATTCATGCAAACAGTAGGCTCCACAGAGGAACCACAATAGTGTTTCCTTCTTCTGCCTTCTGCCTGTGTTCACTTGGACAAAACTTTTATCTGGCTTACCCATCAGGAATGGGTGGGTGCTGGTGGGAATGTCCCCACAGCTCCTTGGGCTGTGGCCCTGGCCCTGGCTTCTTTCCAAGCAGTCTGGACTCCTGTCCCCTGCCTTGCTCTGTTGTCTTGTTGTTTAAGGCACTTGTATTTGACTACAGTGTCTCTGCTCTCACAGCACACACGTGTATTCCCTCACCCCCATGACAAACTGCCTGAGATTCAGAGTGCCTTAGAAAATTTGTGAAGGTCCCTTAGTCAGTGTTGAGATATGAGGTCATTCACAAGGACATGTGATGACAGTTGGAGCCTGAGCCTGAGCCCAGTGATTAAAACCCAGTCACTTTCCTCCATCTGGGACACTGTGGACATTTCACCGAAGGATCGAGGTTAGGTAGCACGTGGTGACTGGAGAAGGGTCAATCCTTTGTCTCTTCTCTGACCTTGCCTTTTCTTGTGAAGGTTTTTTTTTATAGTATAACTCTTGGGAGTAACTTTGTCCTTTAATTAAGAATTCTAATTTTAAAGCAAGCTCTGGCCTCTTTCTTTCCAGACTCATTCTGCTCTTTTGATTGGATTTCACGGCTAGGAATTAAGATCCTTATTTTGTCTGTTGTTTTCTTTATGGTTAGTTATCTAGCAGACTCATGCTTTATCTAGAAGGTAAACATGCCTTTCCCACTATAATATCAATGCAGGCAGTGGGGTCTTAGTGACATGCCAAGCTGGATGTAATGCCCCCATGAGCCTCCTTTCATCAAATGGCCATAGTCACTTGAACTTTTCTAGCTAGTGAATCCTGAGGGGAAACAGGATGTCTCTGTGAGAGCCTAGAGAGGTAGGAGTTTTACAAGGTCAGTTCCCAGGACAGAAGCTAATATACACCCAGCGAAGTGCACTTTCTTTTGGGTATCACATACAGTAGGCACCCAAAAGCCGAAAAGCCCATCTCGGTGCAGTCTGCAAGGAACATCTGGGCATTTCCATGCCGGGTAGTCAGTAGGAAACCTGAACAGAATGTTGGAGCAAAACCCAATAACAAACAAAATTGCAAAAAGAAAAGCTAAATGATACCTTGTTGCTTAACATGCCTGAAATCATTTGAAACAATAACCTGGATGTTGCCCCTGGCCACACACAGGGAGTGACAGTGTAACAAAAGACTATGAAATGTAAGTGTCACATTGCAAAGAAGGGTTAGTTTTTGGGGGCCACAGAGAGATCTGGGAGGGCAGTCACAGGAACAGTAATAGTTTCTCTGATTTTTCTTTTTAATAGTTGGCAGATGTGTGGGATTTTTTTCCTTTCCTTTTCTTTCTTTCTTTCTTTTTTTTTTTTGTTTTTTTTTTTTTTTTTTTTGTTTTTTTTTTTTTTTTTTTTGTTTTTTTTTTTTTTTTTTTTGTTTTTTGTTTTTTGTTTTTTGTTTTTTGTTTTGCAAGACAGGGTTTCTCTGTGTAACTGCCATGGCTGTCCTGGAACTCACTCTGTAGACCACAAGGTTGGCCTCAAATTTACCGAGATCCTCCTGCCTTTGCCTCCCAAGAGCTGGGATTAAAGGTGTGTGCCACCAACTAACTCCCCAGCATATGGATCTTAATATACTATATTTTCATTCTTTTAAAAATCTGTTTTTTAAAAAAAGCAGGGTCTTTCCAACCTCTGCTTAGCTATAGCTCTTAACTTTATGGAGTTATTGACTAGATCTTCAGGAGCCTGTGAGTTTGACATTTGTTTGTCTCCTGCCCATGGTCGTGCCAGATTCATTGTCACAGTCCTTCATCACCTCATGGTATAGAACTAGTGGGAAAATAGGAGGATGAGAAGCCCCATATTCTGTCACTTAAGGAGAGAAGGACATAAAAATTTTACACTAAGGGAAATCCTTGCTTTTTAACTTATTAGTATTTGTTTTGTTTTGTTTTGTTTTGTTTGAGACAGGGTTTCTCTGTGTAGCTTTGGAGCCTATCCTGGCACTCACTCTGGATACCAGGCTGGCCTCGAACTCACAGAGACCCCCCTGCCTCTGCCTCCCAAGTGCTGGGATTAAAGGCGTGCGCCACCAAGGCCCAGCTTTAACTTGTTGTTGTTGTTGTTGTTGTTGTTGTTGTTAGTGTTTTGAGACAAGGTCTCACTATGTAGCCCTGACTGGTCTGGAACTCAGAGATCCACCTGACTTTTCTGGGATTAAAGGCATAAAGGCACCACTCCCAGCTGGACTCTTTTCTTTTTTTTTTTTTTTTTTTTTTTTTTCTCAGTTACAGTGCCAATGGCCAAAGTTAACCAAGGCAACTTGAATTCTGAACAGGGGAACAGGGGTGTTCTTAAAAGCTGCTGTGTCCTCTTGGCTTTAGTGTCCTGTCCTGTGGTGTATCTAGTTCTGAAACCAATTGTCTCCTTTGCATTAACAGCATGGCCGGACCCCCTTGCACCTTGCTGCCAATAAGGGTCATCTGTCCGTGGTCCAGATTCTGCTGAAGGCTGGCTGTGACCTCGATGTGCAGGATGATGTAAGTAGAAGCAAGCATCATTTCCTCCAGAGAAGGGTTGGCAGGGGAGCTTGTCTGCGGTAGCAGTCCGCAGGGCAGATGTCGGCAGTGTGAGGAGGGAGGGGACTAGGTGTTGCCAGAATGTTTTTTGGCTCTAGCCTGGTCCCTGTGCTGGCAAAAATGTTTTTGGGGATACCTTCTGGGAGACTCATTCTCAGCAGTATACTAGCTTAAAGGGAGCGCTTCAATTATGGTTCTCTGTCGAGTGCAGAGTCGCTGAGGGCATTCACCTTGCCCTGTTTTAGTACACTCTGGCAGTGAGTGTGGGAAAGACCCATTGGATGTATGTGTCATCAATCAAATTCACTGCTGAAGAAAAGGTGAGGCTTAGTCCCCATACCCCCCCCACACACATGCACTTTATCTTAATTTCTGTTAGTGTACATTTAGTTGGAAGTTCCATTCCAACTAAAAGGGGGGAAAGGGACTTAGGCAAGAACAAGACCTCTTGTAAGAGTTCACTGGTAGTTCTATGTGATTGACATGTGACTCCCATTCACTCACCTAGTCCGACTCCCATCAGCTCACTGAGATGTCCATCCAGATTGTTGGGACAGACTCCCACTGGCTCCTTCAGCACCGTGTGCCCAGTCTGAGTCTTTGAGCATTGGCCAAGCGGGGCTGACTACACAGCACAGAGCCTTGGTCTCTTGGGTCTTTGGAGAAGGTGGGGTCTCTGAGGAATGATAACATAAATTGTCCTCCAGTGAGTTACTAGGAAAAAACCCTATGGCAATGTGATTGGGAACTATTTTCAGAAACTGGTTCAGCTCTTTTTATTTATTTTTTTATTTTCTCTTGGGTGTTTCCATGTGTATCTGTGCATCCCTGGTACCTGTAGAAATCAGAATAGGTCATCAGATTCCCTGGAACTGGAGTTACAGATGGTTGTGAACTACCATGTGGGTGCTAGGAACCAAACTGAGGTCCTTTGAAAGAGCTTAACCACTGAACTAGCTCTCCAGCACCCACCCCCTTCTTCTCTCAATGATATGGTACAATTCTAAGAAATAAAAGTCGTGTGAGTAAAGAGCATCTTACAGAGTCTTTCCTTATGATAATTTCTTCCAACAACACTACCTAGAATTTTCCTTGCAACCCTGTACAGTATCCTGAAATTTGACAAACACATTCACAAGTGACTTGGCTACACAGCAAGTTTGAGGCTAGCCTTGGACATATGAGACCCTGTCTATATAGGCAGGCAGGCAGACAGGCAAGCACATGGACTAGTTTTATGCATGGGCAGAGGGTATCAGCATCCCATATAAATCTCTAGTTGTATCTGAAGCCTATGAATCACCAAGGGTGTTATTCTCAAAAATTGCTGATTTAGCCTTAAGCTGTTGATTCTCACCTTGGTCATAACACTTTATTTTCTACACTATGACCAATATAACATTCCTTTGAAGAACTCTCCTTCGAAGACAGGAGGAAAATACAGGGAGAGCGTATAAATAAATGATCGAAGGGAAGGTGGGGCCTTGAGTAGCTGTTACAAGCATGTTGTGATGATTTAGTCTTCTCTTTGATAATTAAAGTTCTTGCTTGCCACCGTGGCAAGGTCACAATGCCAGGCATGCCAACCAAACACCCCTACTCAGGTCCCGAGTCTGAGGCTCGCTTTGGTCTCATGCAGCAGACACTATGCTGATGTTTCAGATATGGAAGGAAGCAGAGAAGGCAAGAATTCTCACGGCACACGAAGCCCTGGTGAGCCAGGGTGGAAGGAAAGCCAGCCCTGCATTTAGGTAAAACACCTCTCTCGTTTGAGTCATCGGGTCTTTTACATCCTTTGCTGCTCTGCACAGACAGTTCGTACCTTGTTTCTCCCTATAGCAATAGAACACTTGCAGTGTAACAACAGGTAGTGCCAAAAAACTGAGGGCGGGACTGACGCCATACTCAGCTGTTTCCTGTGTACTTACCATGCCTGTTGACAATCAGGTTTGAGATGTCCACAAAAATGCAAACAAATTGCTTTATTATCATTAAAAAAAGAGGGTAATTTAACTATGGGGGAGTCACTTTAGAAGTTCCCTGTCTGGGAGATGGGAAGAAACAGAATGTTGACTTTGTGACGATTCACTTCTAACTTCATATTCTGCAGATACTGATGTTTATGGCATGGTAATATCTGAGAATTAGAGGAAGAATGACCTCCAGTGGCCTGGAGTGGGATTATTATGAGTTTCAACCCACAGCTCCCGGAGCAAAATCTGTGTTGTTTCCCGCTAATCCTATCAACTCTCAGTGGAGCTCAAATGGCATCTCTGATTGGTCAATGAGTAATCACATGACTCCTACCCCAGAAATAGTCCAGGACCCTGTGGCCACAGTAAAAAGCATGAAGGAAGACAAACATAAGAGAAAGCAGAGAAGAAAGGCTAGGAAGGACCCTAGAAGATCTGAGGGAGAAGAGGTTAGCACCTGCTTTGTGTGCCTACCTGGTGGAGGGTTTGCTTACAACAGGATGTTTGCTTGGGTCCCTGGGGGCTTCCTTCCAAAGTGGGTTACTCCGCCCTTGCATGACTGGGGCTTCTCCTATGAGCTTGGTTTTGGAACAGTGAATGCTTTTCACTACATAGGAAATGGAAATATAAGTGTTTCAGAACAAAGATTCAGACCTCAGGGTTGCAACGCTCTGGAGTGAGAAACACTGATGTCTCGGGAGCACCAAGTGCTCGCAGTCCATTTTGTCTGCGAGCAGGTCAGCATGTCAAATCAGAATGCCAACTGCAGTGTTGCTGCTGCTTCTAGAGTCTTCCTTTGATTCTTCTCAGTTAATCATTCAACAAATAGATCCTGGGTGACTTAGAGACTGGCCTCGATGCTGCACTCTATGCTTGCATAGTGAGGCAGCCCCCACCACACAGATACCCCATCTTCTTTTGGAAACTAGTACCTAAGGTTAACTGGGTTCGAAAGCGGGAGCCTTGACAGTTAATTAGGTAGCTATCCTAGGTAAGCTTAATCAAGACAACAAGAGAATTACATGTGTGACTTCTGACACATAGCTAGGGATCAATAAATACTGAGTGAATGTTGAGAAAAATGTGTTGAGAGAGCTTGGTTTTCTTCTACATTTCCTTTTCAGTTCCAGAGTTTCCTGGTTGATTCAGATCCTATTCAAACAGGGTTTTGTCAGAATTGCTCCATGGGTCCACTAGTAGGTCAAGCATATCTTTGTATTATGTTTTGAAGAGGGCATGTAGCTAGTAATAGATTTATAACACAATAATACTATATACTAATAATATATTAGTGGTTTCAATTTTGTAGGAGTCAAAAATTGATTCTCAAGTAACTGAGCATACTTCAGTTGAAGATCTGGATTTTTACTGTGTTGTGTGTTCTAGAGAGAAAGTAGTCCCACGATGGCTGGAGGAAGCTCTTTGTCCCCATGTTTTGTCTTTCTCAAAACCTTTTATTCTCATCTTAGTAACCTAAGATGCCTAGCTTATAAGAGTTGGAGGAAGTGCCCACTGGAACCTGTTTAGCCGCTGTGAGCAGTACTGTTTGTCCTGCCATAGAGAGCAAGTGCCATTGCACAGCAGTAATAGACACGGGAAGAAGAAGCTGAGTTCTCAGTGGGAGGAATAAAGATGGAAGGGGACTTGCAGACAAGACTGCAACTGAATGGGCCAGCGGGCTTGGGACAGCTTGGCTTCTTGCTGCGGCTGCACACAGTGTCAGATCTCCTGGAATATTGACAATCCATTTGAAAATGCCCTGCTAAGAACCTATCTGAGAGTTAGGTTTAGCTGCTTGCATCTAGTCTGGTAAAGAAAAGTTGTCTCAATGGAAGCAAATAGGCTACATGGATGAGCAAAGATGTAATAAACAACGGTGCTACACTGGCCCAAAGCCATATCAGCTCTTGAGTTCATGAGCAGCTTGTGGAACAAGGTGAAATGTTTGCCCTAAACCAAGTCCTTCATGTGATCCTTTGACAAGACTTGTATGCTTGGGGCATGTTGCCTGCAATTTGCACAGAATACAGAATTCAAGTCTCTTCTAAAAAGATTGCTCCAATTGACCCAAGGAATGCTTGGCAGAATGCCTGTCATTTGCAGTGTGGTTACGAGCATGGGATTCTTAATCCCAGGGTCATGGGTTAGAGCCCCACATTAAATGCCAAAATGTAAGTGGAGTTCTTAATTGATCTAGATAATAAAAACACAGAGTCAGATATAGAGAAAAATGCTGAGAGATCAGAGAGAAGGAGCAAGCCACCGTCACACCTTACCTCTTTAACATCTCAGCAGACAAAAGAGCGAGTTCCTGTTTCTCCCTGCTTATATCCTGTTTTCACCCAGCTACCTCACTTCCTGTCTGTCTGTATGGATCTCCAGACCTTTATGGTTAGCTAGTGGCAGGCTCTATTCTCTGACCTTCAGACAAACTTTATTTGTACAAGCAAGATATCACCACATCTCCTACAGGGAACCTGACTCAGTACTGAACTCATGTTTCTTGTCAAGAAAAATCTTTCTCATGATTATTTTGGAAAAGCCGTAACTAATCTGATGGGGAAATGTCTTAGAAATTCTAATGGAATTTTTAAAGGCTGAGGCTCAGGCACTGTCCCATTTCACGTGTTCAGGCTTGAGCATTATTCTACCTGGAAAGGCCTTCTCAGATGTCTGGCCCAGCTATCTCCTGTAGCCACTTTCAGTGCCACATCCTTCTTTGGAACACTAGGCACATGAAAATGGTCCTCTCCCAGTAGGATACCAGGAGGTGAACAGGAAGAAAACTATACAAAGCTAACTTGTGATGTGGTAAAAAAGTTGTGACAACAGTGCCTGTCAGTCTACAGTCATGGGAATGGGGCTGGATGTCCTCACCTCAGCACTGCTCAAGCCCCTTAGATCATCAGTCAAACTCTGAGAAAAGCTTGCTAACCAGGAATCCTGTTCCTGGTGTCTTTTTATGGCTTAAGCTAGTACAAGGTAGTAGTTTTGTCTGATATGTGAAGTTATATGTGTTAAATACACACACACACACACACACACACACACACACACACACA